GTTTGTTCAATCATTAATATGATACAAACCTCTAATATAGCCTTTCAGTCGTTCTCTTTTTAGATAAAAAACTTTAATTTAACCTCTTACTCTATTTCGCTTATATGAGCAGAATTCGGAATATTCATTCCTTTGAGGATTTTCATTGTAGATTAAAGTTTTCAGCGAAATGAACTCAAATGCTTTAGGATAAGAAAATGATTCTAAAAATTTTTAAACTTTTCGGACTCAAAAGTATCGAGTGAAACCGAAACCGAGTCCACAATGAGTACTCAACAACCGTCGTCAGCAAGTGCCATATCAATGGGAGCATTTTCGACGGCTAAATCTTTGGTGAGTGGTCTGTTGCAAGGTGTTCAAAAGACAGCAGGTGCTGATCAGTCGATGATTTCGCCGAATTCGGATACTAGCGGCACGCGGATCACGCTAGCTTCACCTACGCCAACCTCGACACCGACAACTGGTGTTTCGGGCGCCACTTCTCGTACTTCAGGTACTTCGGCTACAACTTCAGGTGTGTGTTCTTGCTATTGTTTCAGACACACTTCAGGTGTGGGCTCTGAATTGTAGAATTTGTTTGATCCGAAATAAGCTGATCACTTGGCTTTTGTGAATACGACAAATTGCTGAATAATCGTTTGAGTTTTTCCACAGCTAACTTTTTTTTTCATTCAGATGATACTCTAATCATTGTGTTTAACATGAAGACAACGCATATTTAGAATTGTTTTAAGAAAGTCATATCCATATGCGGTTAATATTTCGAGTGAAGCAAATCAGCTGAATATATCTGAATATGATTGCATAAGATAATTGCACATACATAAATAAATGCTTGATAGTTTTTAAGGTATGTTCACCTCAACCGGAAGTGACATGACGAGTTCATTAGTTTCAATGCAATCCACCAAAACTGTCAATTCAAGCAGCTCATCGTCCAGTTCAAATTTTGTTGGTAAGTGATGATATCAGATTGGTTTCATTGCGAAGAGTAAAAATCTCCGTTTCGCAATGTTTTCGTGTGTGACCAGTCAATCTGTCTAAAGACATTCAGTCTAACGACAGCTTGCCTAAAGACGCATTGCCTAACGGACAGTTTGTCTAACTTACGGTTTTTTAATGGATATTTCGCCTAATAGGCAAACTGTCCGTTAGGCAATGTGTCTTTAGGCAAACTGTCGTTAGGCTAAATGTCTTCAGATAGATTGATGGGGTACCGTTTTGGTGTTGGTGTTGAAGAAGACGAAGGCCGAGTCAATCAGTTGGTTCAGACTTGTGAATTCCTTACACATAGATACTAAATGTATTGTGAGATTTGTTCAGAATTTCCATTCGTTTGTAATGAAGGTCTGTATGGTATAGAAAATATATGGTTATGATCACTATCC